GGGCGGGGTGTGGCCCTTTGGCCCCCCCGCCCTGGGCACGGAAAAATCCTGCCCATTGAAATGCCCGCGTTCCCTCCCCCCCCCCCCCCCCCCCCCCCCCCGCCAGCCATATCTGCATGGAAAGGAGCCATCCCGGACAATCCAATTGGCACGAAAGGTCAATGCCAAAACCACTATCGCCAATTAGGCATTTTGCGATGGTGCCTGCAGTGGTTTCTTGAATTCCCAAGTATGCCTTTGGGTCTCCCTATATGCATCTCTATACCTTTCCTTGGGAGTCAGTCCCATGAAACTCAGTGGGGCTTACTTCCGAGTAGAGCTGCAGAGGCCTCTTTGCTCCTTGCGTCAGTTGGCCAAGCCAACCGAAGTGGAAATTGTGCAGCTTGGGTCTTTGGTCAGTTGCGCTTGGGCTGGTGGAATAAAGGGAGCCAGAGAGCCCCTTCCCGTGTGACAGATGACGTTGGTGTGGTGTGCAACGTTTCCTTTTGAAGAAAGCTGTGATCGTGTGACTAAGCTGATCCTTTCACAAAGTGAATCATTATCCAAACAGCTCCCTGGCCACCTGCCAAAGAATGAGCCGTTCTCACAAGAGACCAGCCAGACGGAAGCCAGCAAAGGTTAACTTGACCTGGGCGTAAAGGTGGAGCATCCGGCCAAGGCTGGAGCCCCAAAACTTTCATCTGGAGCTCCAGTATCTGGAAGACCACCTGCCCCAGCACCCAGGGAGGATGAAATAAAGGAACAGGGGTCCCCAGGGACTCCGTTGCCACTGGTGGTTCTGGATGAGCTCGGTTCTGGCCCACAGGAGCCTTGTCTCCTGTGGCTCCCCCCTCCCCTTTCTCTTCCTGTTTCCTTCCCGAAATCAGCTGTGTTCCTCTCACCCATCCTGACATCCCTTTTTAGAGGCAGGTATTCTTAGCAGGCAGGGCATGTGCACAGACGTTAGCATTAGTCTGGGCAGCTGTGTGTGTCTCTTTGTCCTGGGGACCCAAGCGCTACAGCTGCTTGTGATGCTAATGGCCAGTGGCGTAATTTATTTTAGTAGCAGGGAAGCTGACGTCACCTGCCCCTCCTCCCAAGAAGCCCCCGTCCCCCCTGATCTTAGCAGCAATCCTCGCAGTACCTTGGGGTGGCGTGTGGGATTAATTTCCCCACCAAACAGATATTCTTCCTTGTCGGGCAAAGCATTTTGGGGTCCAGGGTTAGCACTGGACCAGAAACTGCAGAAACGCACTGGTGCATAACTCCGCAGGCAGCATTTTTATTAATCTGTACAAACATCACAAAGATTTTCTTTAGAAAAACATATTAACAGGTCTAACGCAACACTACAACCCGGCTGCAAGGAACACACACACATTTCTTCTGTCCAAGGCCAAAACAAGACATCCTGCCCGTCCATTCAAGGAGTGTGACTGGGAAACCTGGCTATCTCCTCTATCTGCCACTGGGGTGGGTGGACCGTTTGAGTCCCGTACTGAATGTTGCAAATACTGGAGGGACAACTTTGAAATATAAATCCGGATGCTCTGTGGAAGGTTCGTTGCAGTGGAGGCTGGGTGGCAGGCTCAGAATTAAGCGGAGCAAAATTAAGTTCGGTCAGTCTTAGCCTTGCTTCGCAAAACGGGGTGAGTGGATTGCCCAGTGGTGCTTGCTCAGGAATCAGTCGTGCTATTCATGGCTCGGGCCTCCTCTGGTGCCGCGATGAGCTCCCTCCCAGCAGGTGCCAGGTCAGAGGAGGCTGCCTCAAAGCGACTCTCGCTCTGCGGGGACTTGGAGACACACCGTGAAGAGCCAGGGATACCCCCTTGCAGCGAGTGCCCGCCGGTGGCGACAGGCATCACAATTATTTCGCAAGTACCTCCGGCTCCTTTCTTCCAGGCCGCAGTACTGTCAGCTGGCAAATTCTGTTCTTTCTGCTAAAGAGCATATCTCAAGAATGCATGCTTTAACTAGGTTTATGCCTGGTTTAACTGGGTTTATGATGGTTAACCAGGCCTGGTGGGAGTGCTCCACATGCTCTCGCAGCTAAGAAGGACCGCTGGCACTTGACAGTTGCCCTTGGCTGCTGCATCTGTGAGTTGTCCTGCCAAATTTCCCATAAGCCCCTTGATGGAACACTGGTTGGGGGCATGCTAGGAAATTTGAAGGGCAGCTTGCAGCAGCCCACCTGTGCTTGTGGGTCCACCGATGTGGGTCGGTGTCCATGGGCTTGGGCGGAGGGCAATTTGTCAACAGCACCCTCAAATCCAGAGCTGGGCCTCAGTTTGACTGTCATGGCACCTAGAAATAATGCTTGGTGAGAATCCTCTGATAGGCTGGAGGCAGGCACAGATCCATGGGAGTGCCAGTCGGTAGACACCCGAGCCGACAAAGCGGCAGGCATGGAAAGCTCAGCGCAGACCCAGTGAAATTAGTGGGACTTCTCCACCAATGGTGTGCGATAGATTTGGTGAACACCTTCCTGCTCTTTAATTTCCCCCACAGTCCAGTGGAGTTTGCTGTGCCCTCCTGCAGTGGGGAAGGAAAATGTTCAGATCCTCCAGGGATCTAAATAAAATAAATAGGCAAAGGAGACACAAAATAGCCAAGGAGTTGTGTTGCTCCTTTCACTATTCACAGGATGGGTAACAATATTGTGAGATGGGCACATCCGTATTCCATGTGGCAACCACAGTCACAATCTGGGGCATGATGCGAGTTTTATTCTAGTACAAAATTACACTGCATGGGAAATGTGCTATTCCTTGGGACTACTGTTTCAGCAGATGGCGCACCCACAACAGAGGCCTTGCCTAGCTAGCGTTGTGTTGCCCACTCTGCAGACTTTTCTTCATAAGGCTGTGAAGCCACCAAGCCTGCTTTGTTGAGGAACTGAGAGCACTGCACAAAAACCCTTCCTTTCCGGCTTTTCTGCTACATAACCTGTAGGTGGCGCTGTGGTATAGTGGACCAGTACAAATACACTGAAGGAAACTGCACTTTCTTTTGCCATTAGAAACAATACCCCGTTTTCTCTGCTGTAAAAGCAGCAAAAAACAAAACCCCAAACACCTCAAAACAACCCCTCCATCCATAACATTATTATTTAGACACAGAAGCGAAACTAGGCAGTCACAATATTGCCTTTAGAACATGTAAACCACGGTGAGTAGGAAATAAGGGGTCTCTGACACGTGCCTCATGTGGAAAAGCTCGAACTGAGTCACAAGCAGAGATCTGTGTGTTCACTGTCACGGTATGGCAGAGACTGGAGGGGTTCCAACAGCAGAGCAACCCATACTTAAGCGTTTGACTGTAGGGTGCCGCTGGAGCACAGCTTACCTGGGTATAGTAGTGAGGTATACCTTGTTACCTATAAAGAATCCAAAGTTTGTTTCTGGGTTAATGACCATGGTTTGTTCTCTCAGCTGGGTTCGGACAACACAACTGCCCCATTTCAACAACAACCCACAATTCAGCCACAACCCACCCTCAACTCATGCTTAACCCTTTAGTGAGGGTTATATAACGTTGTCCAAATCCAGATACTGAATCTCTTGTTTGTGCAGTTGTAGCCCTGCAACAGGTGAAGTTAACAGGTGAGGGTTCTCTTAAGTCTCTTACAGGAAGGACCAAGGCCCGTAAGGTCTCAGAGGGTGGGCCTAGGCAGCCTTTCCCAATGACAGCTCCTATCATTCGTACGTATGCTGTTGGGGATGGTGGAAATTATAGTCCAACAGACCTGGAAGGCACTGGGTTCGGGTGACTGACTTAGGGATGGAGATCTGGGCAGAAATTTCACAGGATCCTGTAAAGGGGGCAAGAGTTTGGGAGAGCAAGGAAATCACACCGGAACTAATGGAGACATGGAAGATCTGCTAGAGGGGGAGACTGGGTAACCCCTTCCCCATCCACTTTTAACAGACATGCCATGATGAGGCTTATCTACGGTACCGTGCATCGAGGGGACAATCGGCAAAAGGAGAAATGTGTGTCAAAAAGAAGTGCCATTCTGTGAAATGCACAAGCCCCGATGGAAGGCTGTTCACAATGAGGCAGCGCAATGGACGAAGGGTTGTGTAACAGTCTGGGAAACGTGGTGCACAAGGAGGAGATTCCGGCTGCATCACTTAAAACATCCCCCTGCGGTCTTGGAAAGAGGTTGTGCAGCGCCCATTTCAGGTTCTCAGCGCGCGAGTTGGGTCACAGCCTCCACACTGTGCTTTCTGCTGCCCAGAAAGGACCAGCGGACCAGACAGAGAGGAGGTCACCAACTCTCAGAGCAGGAGAAAGGATGAGGTGTGCGCAGGATCTTGGCTTCCTTTTGCTCTTTCCCTGCTTCCTCACTGAGAGACGGAGGGCACTCAGGCAGTAAGAGCAAAGACATAGCCAATTACAGTGGCTCCCGGGACGGGCAGTGAGCCCCTCAGCCCAAACACGAGGGCCTCGTGCGCGATTTAAGACGAGCTTGCGCGGAAGAACCGCTTGCTATGTGTGATGATTCTCGTGCAACATTCTTCTAGCAGGTTGGAAACAGCTCCTTGGTGTGGGGAAAGGACTTTCCACCACCAGAAGCGCACCTTCGGATCCAAACCCCTCCCTCCAGCAGAAGAAATCCAACGGATTTGGGGACTGCGGGGTGCATCTTCTGTAGCCACTGCCGGACCTTCCAGTTCCTTCAGCATTTTTCAGGATAGCAACTTGTCCATGATGGGGTTGGTAAAAGAGAAGTTGCTGAACATGTTTTGGTCCATGCTGTTGATGAGGGTTTTGTCTCCGAGAGACAGACGGGGTTTCTCATTCAGAAATTCCTTGTCAAAGTTGCTGCAGTCACCTGGGGATTTCTTTTGGGGGGAGAGAGAAAGCAGAGTAAGAAACACGTAGCTTTACCTCTAAGCCAGAGGGGTCCCGTGTGTGCCCCCCAGGGGGCTTCTGCGGCACATCCTCCCTCTGGCTGCTGCGCTGCTGTGGTTAATTTAACCAGGATCACATGCCCCAATTCTTGGCACAGCTGAGCGCCAAACAGCTGCTTGGGAGGGGAGCATGTGATCCTTTGGGAAAACCATGTGCTGGCTTCTTGCACACCTGGCTTCCCAGCCAAATGTTAGCCATCACTTCCTCAGAGGTGGATGATGGATTTTCAGAGCAGCACCCACAACAAGGAGGCTTGTAAGGACAGATTTCTTGAGCCAGCAGTGTGATGTGACGGCCAAGAGGGCGAATGCCACCCTTGGTAGCATAACCAGAAACATGGCTTCTAGACTGAGAAAAGTGTTACTGCCACTCTATATGACTCAGGTGTGCCCACAGCTGGAGTCTTGTGTTCAATTCTGGGCTCCTCATTATAAGAGGGATATAACAAGGTTGGAGTCAGTGCAGCAAAGGGCCACTAGGATGGTGGCTGGTTTGCAGGGAAGCCGTATGAGGAGAGACTGAGGGAACTGGGTCTTTTCAGCCTGGAGAGGAGGACACTCAGAGGAGACCTGTTGGTGACATATAGGTACGTGAGGGGGTGCCACGCAGAGGTGGGTCATGACCTTTTTTCCCTTGCAGTGGAGGGTAGGGCTTGTTCCAATGGAGCAAACCAAGATTCAGGGTGGATGCCAGGAAGTACTTCCTGATGGTTAGGACTCCCAGGGTATGGAATGGCCTTCCAGGGGAGGTGGTTGAAGTCCCATTGGTGAGGGTGGTCAAAGCACATGGTGGGCATGTCATGAGCGGAGCCTGCTGGAGCCAGGGGTCAGACTAGATGGCCCAGGAGGCTCCTTCTGACTCGTTCAGTTTCTGTGTTTCTCTTTCCACCCTGGGCCTCCCTCTCCACGAGAAAAGCGGAAATCTGTTAGTACTGGCCCTCAGAGTAGAGGCCAAATCACTGTTTTCTTTTGCAACATTTGCCACCTTGGGAACCCTGGGTATGCGATATAAATGTATTAATTAATAAAAGCAAAGCACACATTAATATTGCCCTTCCTTGTGTGGGTGGTCCCGAATGGATGGGATTTTGTTCAATTGTTTGAAGCGTTTTGTGATTTTAAGTTATTTGTAGCCTGGCTAAATATCGGGCGGCCCCACACGGCATATGGACAAGGAAGCTCAGCCTTCAGCGATGGGCCGTGTGGCATCTCCGGCCAGACCTTCTGCCCTTTCCTCTATTAGCTTTGCAGAGGAGTGAAGAATACGAAAAGGTAATGAGCAAATTTGGGGGGTGGTCTCACCACTTTGGGTTTGAAGGGAGGTTCCAGGGCTCTCTCCTCCAGGGCTTCCCAGTTGATTTCTTGGAAGAAGGCGTGCAGCCGGATGTTCCCTCTGGATCCCAGCCTCCTCTCGGGTTCTCGCACGAAAAGCTGGAATCAGACAGGTGGCCACGTGAGGCAGCATGCATGGTGCCAAGCAGCGCCCCCTGCTGGGTAAGTTATCTAATGCATCCCTCCCAACCTGCCGCCCTCTGGACAACATGGCCCTTGCTCAGGGCTGGAAGCTCCAAAGTTGGCGGGGTAGCGAATCTACTTTGGGCTTAGTCTGCACTCTGACAGAGCTACCTATCTGTGGTGTGGATCCCCAGCCCAAAATAGGCGCACTCTGAAACCCAGTGTGGATACCCTGTCCCAGGGATGTGGGGACCGGAGGCCACTGCTGGTATTGCAGTTCAAACCATCTGGAAGGCAACGGGCTGGGGAAAGTAGCGTTATGCTGCTGTCTAGGTCTTTAGGTCACGGTCTGAAGGCACGTGGGGCAGTAGAACAGGGACGTGGGACCTCAGGACGAGGGGTGTGTGGGGAATTCAATAGGGTGGTGAACGTCCAATGAATTTGTGCAGTTCTCCCTGGTGGATTCCAGCTTGTTAGCCTTGTGTTGGTGCCAGCTTGCCATGGTATGGGTGCAGCCGGCTCTTGGGCATCCATCTCCACCACATCACACGAGTTGCTCATTTCTCTTTAACCAGTCATGGCATTTCTGCCAGTAAGTGCCTGAAAACCATGATCTGTGCAGATCCAGCCAATTTGTGCAAATAGGCGACTTTTCTGAGATCAACCAAGACAATAAATGCTCTACCCAATTCATAAACCAAGACTCAGGAAAAAAAATAAGGAAACCTCGGACAACATTAAACCCATAATAACAATCTTAACCATTTCAGAAAACATGGACACCCTTCCCAGAGAGGCTCGCCTGGCACCAACATTATACTCTTTGGTGTCAGGCAAAGCCCTTTTCATTTTCCTTGATTTTAACTGGGGGTTTATTATATTAATGGTCGGATACCGTGGGGTTTGTTTTATTCTACTTATTTATGGTAAGCCGTCCCGAGATGTTCTGTAGGGGATGGGACAGAAAAGCTTTTAACAAAATAAATACATAAATAAATAAATGAGGCAGGGTTGGACCAGAGGGCAGTTCAGAAGAGTCAAGGCATTACTGGGGATTAGCCCCCCCCCCGCCCCCCCCGGAAAGCTTTGCCGCGGCAAAGCCAAACAGCACACGGAAGCCCTTTCCAGTCCCTCTCAGGGCTTCCAGCAGCATCGCAGAATTGTGTGGGCCTGGACGGCCAGCACCGCAGGTCTGATCCTGATCCTGCAGGCACTTGCACAAGGAGCCATCCCGCCTTTGCCCCGCCACCACCGGGGGGAGTGACCCTGAGACCCTCACCTTCACTAAGATGTCCCTTGCGTCCTTGTCCAGCCAGCGGGGGTAGAACGGGCTGTCCATGCGGATGGACTGAAAGAGCTCCTCCTCGTTCTGGCCGTGGAAGGGAGACTGGCCGATCAGCATCTCGTACAGGAGGACGCCAAAGGACCACCAGTCCACGGACGTGTTGTACTTTTGCCCCAGCAGAATCTGGAAAGGAAAGTGCAGGGGGACATGAAAGATGGAGGGGCCGAAACAAGGCACCTGCCTCTTTCTTTTGGGGTAGCCCCTTGGTCCTGGTAGCCCAGTATAGTTGTTTGCCACTGGAAGTGCTTCCCCGGATGGAATGCCTGCTTTAAAAGTAGCACGAACTCTCCGTACGGTTGGCAAAATAATCACAACCACTATTCCTTTACTTAATGGTTATTTATTTCAGTTTAAGCATTTTAAGATCTTGGTTTTATTGCTAGTTTTGTAGTGCCTTTTCTTTTTAAGAACTGCTTATTAGAAATAGGCACGACAGACACTTCTTAAATCAATTAATTGACAAAGGATACCAGAGGTTTTACTGGTGGAATTCATTACCGCATGCACAATTTTGTTTACACGTGGGAGGTTGGAGGCATCTGCTTTGGGGGTTCCCTTATTTGGCTCCCCAGGATCTGGGCTGCTTTCTTGCAGCTGTAAGTCTGACCTGGCCCTTGATTGTGCCAAGTTTTTGCATGGGCGCCTGCCCAGAATCAATGCACAAGCGGCAACCTTGTGCAGTGTGGTGTGGTGGTTAAGAGCGCAGGACTGGGACTCGGGCGATCCGGGTTCGAGTCCCCGCTCAGCCATGGAGCCAACTGGGTGACTTTGGGCCAGTCACAGACTCTCAGCCCAACCTACCTCACAGGGTTGTTGCTGTGGGGATAAGATGGAGGAGGAGAATGATGTAAGCTGCCTTGAGCCCTTTGTAGGAAAAGGCAGGATATAAATCAATCAATCAATCAATCAATCAATCAATAAACCTCCTTCTACGCATGTGACTTGTGACCTGTGGAAGAAGGTTGCCAGTTGTGCGATGGGTTTTCCACGAGTGTCCACAGACTCCCTCCTTGCTTGGCTCACTTCCTAAGCGAGGGCCAAGCACGAGAGCCAGATCCTGGGAAGAGCCCACACGCAAGTCCTCAGGCTGGGCATGATGAGAATGTGGTCCGGATACTTCAATTGGTGCAAAATAGAGCTGCCAGGCTGCTGACGGGGACGGGGCGTTGTGTTCACATGACTCCAGTCCTCTGTCAGCTTCACTGGCTCCCCATTGAAGTCCGGGCCCAATTCAAGGTGTTGGTGATGACCTATAAAGCCCTAAACGGCTTGGGTCCTGGTTACCTGAAGGAGCGCTTACGTCCATATATGCCCAGCTGCCCCTTCAGATCAGCAGGAGAGGCCCTCCTCCGGGAGCCCTCAGTGAAGGAAATTAGGAGGGTGGCTACTCGGAGGAGGGCTTTCTCAGCGGTGGCGCCTAAGTCATGGAATGCGCTCCCCAGAGAGGTCCGCCTGGCGCCGTCGTTATTTGTTTTTCGGCGCCAGGCGAAGACCTTTTTATTTAAGCAGTATTTTAAATGTTAATATTATTGAATTTTATTTGGCCAGGGCGGCTTGTTTTATAGTGTATGTTTTATATTATATATTTGTATTTTATTGTATATATTTTAAAATGTTATTTTAATTTTTTGTTGTAAGCCGCCCCGAGGCTTCGGCGAATGGGGCGGCATAAAAATGTTTTAATAATAATAATAATAATAATAATAATAATAATAATAATAATAATAATAATGCGCCATTCTCAGCTTCCTTTCTATAAGTTCCGTGCAGGGCAAGGAATGAGAGCCGGGCTTCAGGGCTACTGCAGCCTGCAAGCAGCCACACATGGCTTATTCAGCAATGGCTGTCTCAGACTTACAACTGTGGTAAGGGATTTGCAACTAGGATTGTGCAATGACATCTGGGTTTGGTGCCGCCATTCCCAGATAATACCAGACAGGACTCAATCTGAAACAAAGCTGCCAAAATGGTCGCAAGGACTGAGAGTGGCCCTGGAGGGTGGCAATATTGCACAAAGCCAATGAGTGCCAGTGAGTGAGGAACCGCAAGGGGGTAAGAGAAGCTTTCTGTGGAAGGACTCGTCGTGAGCTGTCCCATCAAGCCTACCTCAGGTGCAATATAGTCAGGAGTTCCACAGAAAGTGCTGGTCTTCGCCTCCCCGTACATGTTTTCTTTGCACATCCCAAAATCCGCGATCTTGATATGCCCTTCCTTGTCTAAGAGAACGTTGTCAAGCTTGAGGTCTCTGCAAGATAGGAGCAGGTGGATCTCCTTCGGAAACGTTCTTCTTTTCGGACACAACTTTTCAACACCAACCCTGCCGTTCCATGGTAGCCTTCCCTGGTTTGTTGCCATTCAGGTGTGCTGGACCAGAAGGCCCCCACTGGCTAAGGGACGATGGGAGGTTTACTCTAAGGCAACAGAAGCTAAGGAAGTTGGGGGCTTGGGCATTCATGGCTGGGAGACTTCCTGGGAATCCCAGGTACACTGTCATCATGGAAAAGCAGGATGCGAACCAGGTAAGTAACGAGGAGGCTGGCTTCCTGGCCTGGCTTCCCAGAGGGACTGGCAACTCTGCCGTCATGATTCTGCGCTGCCATGGCAGCTCTTTTCTGCAGCTTATGTACAGTTGATGTCGCAAGTGGATAAATCAGCATCGCAGTGTCTGTGTTATTGCATTCGTCTAGGTTATTGTCCAACTTTTCTTTGCTTTTGGGACCGATCTTATAATTCTCAGATCATTTAAGACTCCCCAGTCCTATGCACATTTGTTTGAAAAGAAGTTCCACAGACTGGATTACACACACCTCTTTCTGGTTCAGGATACAAGTCCTACCTGTAAACTATCCCTTTGGCATGAAGGAACTGCAAACCACAAATGATTTCAGCAGCGTAGAACCTGGAAAAAAATCCAGAGATATTTATTTTCCACGTGAAGAACATGACAGAGTCCTTCTGCATCAGAACATTGGTCTGGCCAGTCCAGCACCTCACCCTTCTGGAAGCCCAGACAGCTGGGAAGACTGTGTGTTCCCAAAATCCCAAACATCTGGAGGGCTGCAAATCATCCGAACCTGCTCCAGTGGGTATAACACACTGGAAGAATGTATTAATGTGCTAAAAGCTTTTTAAGCCTGTTCACTACTAGCATCTCAGGGCAGCTTACAAAAAGGAAGTAGAATAAAAGCTCCACAGACTGCTCATGCTTCATCCAAACCAAGAGGGCAAATGAAGACACAGGTTTGCAGGCGTTTTGTGCAAATATAATTTCAGCATTGGTGGGATCCAAATCAGAAAAGGTGGGGCCCAAGGCATGTTTTGACGTAGCTTTTCTTACTAGTGAGTAAGCATTTCGAGAGACATTTGAGCCTCCAAGAATGGGGGAAAGGCAAGCCAGGCGGCCACAAAAGGATCAGAGGTTGGAGGAAGAGGGCGTGTCTTTCTGGAGAACTACGGAGAGTCCTGGGAGCCCAGATCGGCCCAGTTTCTTCTGTGGACGTGAAGCTCAACACTCCTGATTTAGTCACGGAAGGTGTCAGCTGGGCCCCGGACACTGTTTCCAACCGCAGTGGCCAAGCCAGAGAACAACTGTGCTGCGGTTTGGAAAACGAATGCCTCTGAGGATGTGCAGAGTGTTTTCACCAATGAGCAATCCTGGCCCACCCCTGCTGCTAGATCTGAAAGAATCTTATGCAGGGCAGAGGGGCATGTCTGCAAAAAGGGCCGAATACCGCCAGGTCTCTTTTTTGGAAATGCAACTCAGAAATCACCCTGCGAGGCCACGAGTCCCAAAAGTCACCTTGGCTCGTACTTCCCTCGCCCAGCAAGAATGAATAATTTATTTCAAGTAGCTTCTCAATCCAAACAAGTTTCTAAAGTGGCTTCAATATTGATTTTTCCCAAATCGTCCCGGTGGCACAAAGATCTATTTTATTTGCTCCGCTCTTCTATTTGTTTGAATCGTGGCTTAATGGTTTTCCTTTTAATTCTGAGTTGATGTTTGCTTTTTGCGAGGGCTTGTTCCTCTTTTTAATTTTTAACAGGGACGCAATTCTGGTGAAGGGCTTTGGGCGGCAATTGGAGGGTTGGGGGGTGGCAGTCACCCTGAGAGTTATTTGGTGCTCCTGAAGCAGTTCAAGAAATGTTAATTCTAATATGTGACATTAATACTGATATTAATATGTAACATGATTACACGATAAGTGCCAGTGTGGTGTAGTGGCTAAACTGGGAGATCCAGGTTCTAGTCCTCATTAAGGCATGAAGCCCACTGGGTGGCTTTGGGCCAGACTGCCTTTAAGCCTAGCCTCCCTCGCAGGGTTGGAGTAGTGAGCATAAAATGATGAGAACCTTATAAGCTTCCTTCAGTTCCTTACAGGAAGAAGAAAAGCAGGATAATATAAAAATGATCATATTGAAATCATTATTGAATTAATATCCAATCAATGTTCAACAAGAATGTTGGGATTGTGGAATTAATATTAAATTGTGAACTGGCTCTGTATCTGAGAAACTCCTTATCTGTTGATGTCAGGCAGGCAGTGATGGGATTTCTAAATCGCCTACGGAAGGCTTTTTTATTTAATCAGGATTCCCTGTCCTACCAGCCAGTGTGAAATTTGCAATGTGCGAAAGGGAGTTCTGCTTGCAGTCCTGTGAATGCAGTGTTGGGTTCACACAGGGTCTGAGTGGGCTGCAGCCCAGGGCCTCATAATTTGGGAGGGGGTGTCTTGGCTTCCTGCCAATTCTTTAAAAAATTTCCATGAATTTTATTTCATTTATAATGCTGAAAATCAGGGGTGTACCTAGGTGAAATATCATTTTCTACACTAAAAATAATAAAAATAATCTATGGTCACTAACGTCACAAGTGTCTGATCTAAGCATTCTCTGCTTAGAAAATGATAAGCTGTAACTTACTGATTTTAGTGATATAATTGATAAGTTTGCATCCAAAAAAGCTTGAATGAAACAATTCTGACTTTGCATAAAGTGTAAAGTTACAACATAGCTATGATTCCCCTAGGAATGTTCTGTGTCAACATCTTCATTAATTCCATACTTCTGTAAACTTATTAAAGGTTATACATTTATAAGCAGTCAATGCTAAGATTTCAGCAATGTTCTCCTTTCACTGAGTAGATAAAGAAGGAACAAGGTTTTGCTTCTCATGATCAGATGCTATTACGTTTGGGTCTCCCAAGGTCTCCTAGTCCAGGACCTTCAGTTGCTTTAATCCGGGACTGCGTGAATGTGAGAATTGTCTGCACAGTTGGAGACCTGGATAAGGCAGGGCAGCGATGTAAGCAGAGAAGACCTCCCTTGCTCATCCGACACGGCAAGGTCCAAGCCGAGAGGAGCAAGGTCCGTGCCCTGGGAGCCCTTGGAGATGGGGCCAGGCATTCCTCCCGTGAAGCTGTTGTCCATTCAGATGAATGGATGCCTGGGCAGAGCTTCTGTGCCCGTGAGAGTGTGGGCAAAAAGGCCCTTCTTACCTTGCTCTGCCAATGTCAAACTTGTGGCAGATCTGGATATGGAACATGAGGTCTCCCCCATTGAGATATTCCATCACGAAAAAGAGGTTTTCCTAGTAAACAAGAAACAGATCTTTGCTGTATTGATTCATGGAAAATTCTGTAGGGCAGAAGAAACCAGAGGACTAGAAATCTAAAGCATCACCAGCTGCTTTCTTACTTCATGGATGGACAGTGCCACATGCTCAGAGTATTTACAGTATCCATTCCACAGATGGTCAACTGAGGTGACCTCCATCTTTCTTTTGACCTTCTTTCCAGCCTTCAGGTAAGCAGCCTTTCCATTTTCTTTTCAAGTGGCTTGGACTTGTTGCCAGCCATTCTTACATCCTCTCTTTTCTAAAGGACTGTTTTTTAGTGTGAACTTGTCCTTGAAAAATTTCTGGCTAGGGGGATTCAATGGAGCTCCTGGAAGGACGGCTGATGCCTGTGAACCACACTGAGCACCCAGAATTCTCTAATGCTAAGAAGGTATTGACTGAAACAGGAGATATGCATATTTCTGCTGAGCCAGGGCCTGGGTCAGGCAGCCGGATATGGGTCTGCCCTTGAAAATGGGCTCCAACTTTGGTTGGCATAAGCTATGGGTTCTTGAGCCACAGCTGGAGTTGGGCAGGACCATCTTCTCTGGCACCCATTCTGAGCCCCATTTAAACTGCTGATTTTGGTTTTTGTGGCTCTGCATGGTTTGGACTTTGCTGTTTAAGGACAGCCTCTTCCCATAGGCAACTAAATGAACCCTGAGGTTGCCATCGGAGGCTCTTCTCTGAATACCCCCCGTCAGCAGAAGTAGGTGGATAAAGCAGATGGAATGCAGAAACTGAAGGGCTCAGCAAAGTTTACCAAGAGTGAAAGCTATTTGTGTTTAGACAGGAAAAAACCCTAAAACTCTGGAGTATTGTGTCCAGTTCTGGGCAGCAAGATTTTAAAAAGATGCAGAAACATTAGAAAGGTTCAAAGGAGGGCTACAGAAATAATCCAGGGTTTGGAAACACTGCCCTGTGAGGAGAGACTGAGAGAACCGGGCACGTTCAGCCTTGAGAAGAGTAGATGGAGGGGGGACATGAGATCCCTCTGGAAGTACCCCAAAGGCTTCCTTCACAGAGAGGAAGGTCAAGATCTTGTCTTGCTGATGCCAGAGTGCAGGACATGGAAGAATCAAGTCAACCCAGATTCAGGCTGGACATCAGGAAAAGCTTCCTCGCTGTCAGAGCGATACGGCAGTGGGACCAGCTGCCTGGAGAGGTGCTGGGCTCTCCCACACTAGAGGCATTCAAGGCGAAACTGGACAGCCCTCTGAGTGGGATGGTGTAACGTGGTGTCCTGCAACAGCAGGGGGTTGGACCCGGTGGCCTTCTTGGCCCCTTCCAACTTTACTTTTCTATGAACTCTCAGGATCCCTTCAGCTAGCCATACTGGGAGCTGTAGGACCTCTTTCCTGTTTAAATACAAATAGGGTTGCACCCTGAGTGAGAAACAGATACCTAGGCTGATGCATAAGACAAGAGGAAAAAACAGGCCAGGTTTCTACAAGAATGAAACCACCACTACTGCAAAGCATACTGAATAGGTTAGTCATTTTATACACAGGAAACACTGGAGGAAAAGAAACTCCTTTGGCTCCATCTGGCTGTCAGGCAACATCCACTCCCTTGCCAGCCTTGTTTGCACCCAAGCTTCTCTCATGCACCCAGCGCTATTCATGGGCTCTGTACCTTGAGTGACCCTTGCTATTCCTATCAATTGCTTGGAAAACTTCAGGAACAAATGGTCTTCCCTTGCCTTTTCATTGGGGGTGAGCTGCTGTCATCACTATTTCAATACTCCACCATGTGAGGTCTGGCAGGAGTCATGACAGAAAGCACCTTCACACATCTTTTTAAGGGTCTTGGTGGAAAGATGGAAACCTTCCCTACATGCATGTGAGGGTCTCAGTCTGGATCCAGTCCTTCACCATTTAGCATGTAGCATGTACTTCCTCAAAATATTGGTTCTTCCCATCTAGAATCGTCAAGTTCCATTAAACTGGTCAAATTCCATGGCATGAATCCCAGTCTTGGAGTAAATAAACCAACACCCGAAAGCAAACACCCACCCTAGGTGAACGTGTGTGTGTTTGTGTGTGTGCATTTACCTTGGTTTGGAATGTGCAGAAGACGTGCGTGAGAAACGGGTGCTCCCAAGCCAGCGAAAGCACCCTCTTCTCCACCATAGTGCATTCGATGTCGTCATCCATCAGAACCACCTCTTTCTTTAGCACTTTCATGGCAAAAAACTGGTTGGTCGCCTTCAGCTCAGCAAGGAAGACCTGAGCAAAAATGATCATTGGAAAGTAGAGTAGTGTGAAAATGGCCATTCTTGGCAAGATTAGCAAAGCAACAAAATCGGGAGCAGGGGACAGAATTTCACATCCTAAGACTCTTAGATCGACAATTGCCTAACACAACCAATCCATGTGGGTTGGGTGTGCATTGAGAGTAGGCTGTTATTGAACCATGGGTTATCGGGTTGTCTGAACCCAACACACTAAGAAACCATGTTGAACAACCCACAGTTCCCAACCCAGCAAAAAGCCATGGGGTCTCTTCATGGGTTTTTTGTGGCTTGAAAAGCCATGGCTTGCTATCGGTGGTTGAAATCAAGGTTACCCTTGAAGAGTGGACAGCTGCCTTCTTATAGTCCATATTAACACAAACTTGGGTTGCTGTCAGCTGACAGGTGACACAGGATTCTCAAGCCCTGCATTATTTACATTCAATTTCACCTGGATCCTTTAAAATGCACCAATATAATTTGCCATGGTCTTCCTGTTTGCTACTTACCTTGCCAAAGCTTCCCTTCCCCAACATCTTGTGCAAGAGAAAATCGTCTATGGTTAATTTTGGTAGCTCTGATTGGAGCTCTTTCCTGGGTTCTAGTTCCACAAGAGATTTGGGAGGCATCACGTCTTCTGCTGGGGATTCCCAAGAAACTCCTTGTGGTTCTGTAATGGATCCCAGAGCATTCGTGTTAAAAGAGTCTCCGATCAAAAGTGAAGCAGACAAGGTTCAACTGCTTGGTATCATCCTATCGAAAATTGCAACCTGTAGATGATGTGGCTTGGCTTGCTTGCTTATGGTCTAGGTATGACATTCATCTCCTTTGTGGTGTGTATGTGTGTGAATTTTCAGCATTTGGCAAGTAAGTGTTAATAAGCCAGTTGTTGTTTTACCACCCAATAGCCAACTGGGCAATTTATGATGGCTCATAAAAACAACACAATACAATAAAATATCTTTTTTTTCCAAAGTGACATTTTTAATAGCTAAAACAATATATACTTTGAGTGCATCATGAGAAGACAAAATCCCTGGAGAAGACAATCATGTCAGGGAAAGTCACAGGCAGAAGAAGAAATGAGAAAATGAATATGAGATGGATGGACTCAATCAAGGGAAACTCAGCCTTGAATTCGCAAGAGCGGAGCAGGACTTCTGCTCTTCTGGAGGACTTCCATTCACAGGGTCACCAAAGTTGGAGATGACTTGATGGCTCACAGGAACAACAAGCCTGTTTTGGGTACTCTCATGATGCCATTAAACATCCTTGGATGTCTTTAAATGCCTCAGCACAGAGAGCTGTTTTCACTGGCACTGAAAGTTGCCACCTGGTGGGCTGCAGCGGGGAGATAGTTCCACACCGAGGGGGCCAGCACTGAGAAGGCCTTCCTCCTCGCTGCTGCCCTCCGAGCCTCCCTTGGTGTTGGCACCTGGTGGAAGGCCACAGAGGCTGACTGCAGCATCCAGACTGTGCGTGGGAGAGATGCACCGTCAATATCGGGGTCTCAAGCTCTTTAAGGCTCTATAGGCTAAAACCAGTACTTTGAATCAGGCTTGGAAGGATATAGGCAACCAATGAAAGCAGGCCAGAATTGGGCTTATGCTTCAGGCCTGCTGGTCCCGGGCGTTGGCCTGGCTGTCGCATTTTGCATGAGCGGCAGCTTTAGAACAGTCTTCAAGGGCTGCCCCCACACAGAGCGCGTTGCAGTGCTCCAACTCAGAATAGTACTGATGGAGTTGCTTCCATGGGGAAGACTGCTGCTCCAAGGAGAAAATGCCTTACCCTTTTTTCCTGCTGGAGGCGCCGGCACAGAAGGGGTGGACGAGGCGTCTTTGTCGGGCAAGATGATCTCGACCGGTCCTTCCCTTAAGATATGCTCTGAGTCACGCAGGCTTCGAGCCTGGATCACAGGGGAAAAGAAGGAAATTCAGCGGCACGTCACCGAAGAATGCCTGTGGCCTGTGGGTCCACACGGGTTTGATCCAAGGAGCCGCGGTTTCTCTAGAATGGCCTAACCTGCTACCTCAGCCATGGGAGTCTGAATTGGTGGCCATGGGGGACTCTTGCCATCTTGACACTGCTCCACCCATGAATCCCTTTCTTTACACGGAAACAGTCCCTCTAAATTCTCCCTGGAGCGTCCGATCTCTTGCAGCAACCACAAATTAATATATACACCTAGGTCCCCCTGTTGTTCGCCATAGGGGAGCCGCGGAATTGATATCGCTGACCCACCTGCTGCCTGCTCTCGATCAGAGCCAGTGCCTCGGCCATGAGCTTTTGGTTGACGCCACACAGGTTTGCCACTTTGGTCTGGCATTTGTGGTGGACGTTCATGGCGCAAGCTGCAAAGAAGAGATTTTGTCAGGTGGGGAGAACCTATGCCTTGACCCTGCTCGCTTCACCGCTTCATGCTATGGAGTTGCTCCAAGCGCTGCGTCTGTTTTCGGCATTGTCCAGTATAGAAATGGCTGGAACTCTGGAAAAACGGGGCCCGCATACTTAAATCAGCACATTAATGTGCCAGCGATTCCCTTGCAAGGATTTTTACAGGCAATACAGACCAAGCAAAGTGCACAGGGAAAATTAAGGAGCCGCGGAGCAGTTTGCAGCTTCTGAGTTAGGAAGGGCAATCATGGACCTTTCAGTTCTTTTCCCTCAGTCACTTTCAGTTCAGTTCAGCCAGATCCTGCATCAAGGTACGGATGTTCTTCCGAAAAGCCCGCGGCACTTTTGTGTGCAGGCCACGTGGCGCTGCGAGCCGCCCCCAAAGTGCTGAAGGGGCACTTGGGGCTGGCTGGCAGAGGCCTCTCTGTCTTGTGCTGCCAGAGCAGCATGGGGCGAGCTGCACCCTGCTCAGCCCCATCCCGAGTAATCGGAGCAGCGCATGGCTTGCCCAGCATCCGAGCAGGCCAAGCAGAGCAAGGCCTGGCTCTCCCTTTCCAACGCCACTCTCTGTGGTGCTGGGCAGGAGAAGCTGTGCCCGTCTCACCCGAAGTGCCGGCAACCCTTCCCGTGGCTTGTGAGTTGGTGCAAGAAACAGGCGACAGAAGGGGGAATTTTGATCCCCCCGGGATAGCCCATGGGATACTGTGGGGAGACGGATGGGGAGGCAGGGGGTGTGCTCATTTGCACATTAGGCACATGGGGTGCCAGGGGGCTTCTAAGCCAGACTGCGGTGCTTGGCTTAGTGTGAGCTGCAAAGACGCCCCTGGGGCTTCCGCGAATTAGTGGTGCACGTTTTGTGCATGCCTGCCCACAGCGTTTAGCGTTTTGTGCATCCTTGTCCTGAGGTTAGCATTTTGTGTAGCGGGTGGCCTAGACGGGGAACCACAGTGCTAAGGGCAGGAAAGTGGGTTGTCTTGGTTTCGATTCACTCCTTGATTTGGCTGGTGAGAATTTTTTTGGTGAATTTGAATAAACATTTGGAGCCATCCCTTAAGCTGTGTTTCTTCCATCATTTGATGGGAGCAAGTGGCGTGGGAGAGGCGGATACAGGAAGGGGAAGGGGAACTTTGATGTGTGGGTTATGGGTACCACTTTCCAAAATCAGAGAAGATGGGGAATTCTTGACACCTCATACTTGGGGCCGATCCAGATGGGGATTAAAGGTACATCGAAGACTCCAGCTTCTTTAAAAACAAGAAAGGCATAATCAGGACAGGAGGTACGTGATCCTTGGATTGCAGGGTGAGAGGAGACATTGTTCCCTTCCATTTCCTGCTGTGGACCTAAGGAAAATCCATCCTTTGGGGCCAGAGGTTCTTGTGTGTGTGAGCAAACCAGTGTGCATGTTTGTGTGGGGGATCCCCCACTGGTGCTAATGGGGAATTTCCTCCCGATGCAAATAGTGGCTTCAAAGGGGCAATTTGCTTAAAGTTTTCAGCAGCCTAAGAAAGGGTTAACTCCCGCTGTATGCCTACTGTGGGTCACATCCCTGTCTGCAGATAATATTTGCATTTTTTTTTCTGAAAGTGTCTACATTTAACTTTGCTTGCAGTTTTACCACCCAGCTTGACTCACCGTCACATTTCAGTCCTTGCCGGGCCAAGCCCCAGAGCAGTGTGCCACAGTGGTCGCAGAAAGTGGGGCTTTTGTAGTTGTAGACCTTAAACCGATGGGGCATGTCAATCTTAAACCTCTCCTTGTGAAACTGCAAGAAAGAGGAAAGGGGTCTGCCAAGTGCTGTGAGAACCAAAGATGCTCATATTTTGAAGCTGCTATTCACATCTTTGCTGCTCTGTCTCTGCTACCCAGACACCCTGATCAACACCCCATGCCTTCCCCTGGCTGACTGCCACCTCCAAGGGACGCCATCAGTCCATAAACAGTGGAAGGGTCTTCTCTGTGGTAGCCCCAGCTGTGGTCTGATCTCCCCACTGGGACCCGCCTGGAGCCCTGTGTGATGCTCAGCTGACTCAAAAGGATCAGCTCTGGTAATGCCTGTATTTTGGCTCCAGGTTTTTGCCCCTGGTTCCACCCCTCTCAGGAATGTGGTCCTGGAGGGCTTCTCTGAAATCCCATTGCACCAGCCCTGAACTCAACAAACAACAAACGCCGGTGATCCTTGAATCTGGGGATCACAGCTAAAAATCTAACTATCTGCTACCCCGTGAGTGAATCCACTTTGTGTGCCAGTCAGTGGGACGGGATGCAACTATTTTGCACAGATTTCATTACTTCAGATGAGGACGTGGTGAGGAAAAGGCTCTGAAATTCCCGAGAAATCAAGCTCACAGCCCTCTCGGACGGAGTCACCAGGTCTCATTCCAGTGCATACCATGGTTTCCCTACTGTTGACGGCCGATCCTGTACACTTAGCGATCACCTTGTCAATGCACTTCTTATGAATGGCAGCATTGCATTCTGGGAGGAAGAAATGCAAATAATTAGCATGTTTCAAAATGGCACAGGACGACTGCAGACGTGAACTGAACAGCACTGTGCAGCCTGAGAGGAACACGACCCTGCAAGTGGCGGGAGTGGGAAGGCCGCGCAGGGCCCAAGCGAATCCTTTTCTTGCCCCCAAAGTGGGCTCTGATTGCATGAATGCAGCGCAAGGGAAAACAATTTTATCTGGCCAGGGCGGCTTGTTTTATATTGTATGTTTTATATCATATATTTGTATTTTAATGTATGTATTTTAAAATGTTATTTTATTGTTGTAAGCCTCCCCGAGGCTTCGGCGAATGGGGCGGCATAAAAATGTTTTAATAAATAAATAAAATAAAATAAATTCACCTATATCATCCGGTCCCCTTTCTTCGCTCCGGGACCAAGCTCACGCAACTTTGCCCTTGGAGCTAAGCTATCCGAGCTTAGCCTTGAAACTCAGAGAGTTAATAGGGACTCCCTGATTCCGGGGGGTGGGACCTGAGAAGGTGAGGGCATGGCCTATTGGAGGAGAGAGTGACATTGGATGGGCCAGGGGCATGGCCTGTGACTCAGAGGTGGACCCTGCTGGATATGGAGGACGGAAGAAAGCAAAACCTCCCAAGCCCAGGAAAAAATATCTTACTCCCTTTGGTCTCTCACCCTGCCGTTTTACTGTTTCCTTAGAAACCCCGAGGAACAGGTAAAAACCTGAAAATGTCAGGTCAACCTGCAGGCCAGGAAACTGATCCTAGGGCCATCTCTGTGCAGAGAACTTAAACACCTGCAGTGTTTATTTTGTCTTTTAATCAAGGTTTTCATGAAACAGGCACAATCCAGCCGAAGATCTGGACTTTCGCTCCTAGTGATATCATTGAGAGAAGAGATAACTTGAGATAAATGAATGTCTGCTAAGATAATAACCAGGAGAGGGATTCTATTGCTTCTTCCCTGGTAGGATTTTTAAAAGTTTGATTCCAGCATTTTTTTGATTTCTGCAATGTTTAGTCTGCAATATCTATTATGGTAATAGAATTAGTGTAATATGATAAAGTCTCTTACGTTGGCACTGGTATCCTTGCTTGTTAAGGCCCCTGGAATAAAGAACAGAAGGGGAAATCTTAGTATAAAATAGCACCCAGCATGCACCAGAGAGCCGTTTTTAAGACAAGCCAAAAAAGTAGCTTGCTGCATTCAGGCCCATTGAATAAACACATTATTTAATGTACTTATTTCCAGGCACCCCTGTGTCACTGGGGGTCCTTTGCCACTGCTGATTCCATTTTGAGCTTCATAGGAGCTCTCCATGGTGGCAAACCAATTTTGCAGATGCAACTCAGCACCATGGACAGCAAATCCAAAGCTCAAAGGACAAACTGCATGGATGAGGGCTGTGGTAGAGAACAGTGGCTTGTTTACTGTGGTTTGCTATTTTGGCTTAATCCAGGCAACATGACAATCTGTACAACCACCACACAGGGTTCCACAGCAGCCCACCACACTCAAGCTTTCTGTGTGGTAATTGTGCATAATTGTGGGTATCTAAAGGAGCGCCTGCATCCATACTTGCCCTCCCGCCCCCTGAGATCGGCAGCAGAGGCCCTTCTCCGGGAACCCTCCATGAAAGATATTAGGAGGGTGAGCACCCGGAGGAGGGCCTTCTCTGTGGTGGCGCCCCACCTATGGAATGCACTCCCCAGAGAGGTCTGCCTGGTGCCGTTGTTATTTGTTTTTCAGTGCCAGGCCAAGACCTTTTTATTTAAACGTTATTTTAATTAATTGTTAATTTATTTATTGGTTTTATTTATTGCCTGGATGTATCCAATTTTTATATATTTTTGTATTGTTATTTATTTGTTGAAAGCCACCCCAAGGCTTATGTGAATGGGGCGGCATACAAGTTTCCCAAATAAATAAATAAACAAATAATGGCGAGGGACCTTTCTGGCTACTGTACTGTACCCAGGTGGCCGTTCAGGGGGCTGATGTAGGAGGAATCTCCGTTGGGGGTGGGAATCCACATTGCTTTCCCAGTTCAGCTCCCCAGATTCCAGCCCACCTCGTCTTTGCCGTAACCCCAATTTGCTCTGAGTGTTGTGTGGGCACCCGGCAGGAAGCAAGTCCACAAGGTCAGTTTGCATGTGTGTCGCCTGCACATGTCTTGTAAAGTGGAGCTGTTTCTGCACAGGTGGCTTGCAGGATTCATGCACTTTGCACAAGAATAATTCAGTGCAATAGTGACAGATTTGATTTTCCTGGGCTCCAAGATCACCGCAGATGGGGACTGCAGCCAAGAAATTAAAAGACGCTTGCTCCTGGGGAGGAAAGCTATGGCAAATCTAGACAGCATACTAAAAAGCAGAGACATCACCCTGCCAACAAAAGTGCGTATAGTCAGGGCTATGGTCTTCCCAGTTGCAATGTATGGCTGTGAAAGCTGGACCGAGGAAGGCTGAGCGCCGAAGGATTGAGGCCTTTGAATGGTGGTGCTGAGGAGACTCCTGCAAGTCCCCTGGACCGCAAAGCGATCAAACCGGTCAGTCCTAGAGGAGATCAACCCTGACGGCTCTTTAGAAGGCCAGATCCTGAAGATGAAGCTCAAATACTTTGGCCACCTAATGAGAAGGAGGGACTCCCTGGAGAAGAGCCTGATGCTGGGAACAATAGATGGCAAAAGAAGAAGGGGACGGCAGAGGATGAGGTGGCTGGATGGAGTCATGGAAGCAGTCAGCATGAGCTTAAGTGGACTCCGGGGGATGGTGGAGGACAGGAAGGCCTGGAGGAATGTTGTCCATGGGGTCATAATGAGCCAGGCACGACTTTGCGACTAACAACAACAACAACAACAACAACAACAACAACAGTAAAGTGCAAAGAAGGGCTGGCTAGCATTCCCAAGCATTTGTGGACTAATCTTGGCTTGGCTCCCTTCCTAAGCCAGGGCCGAAGATGGAAGAACGTCTGGCGAGTGCATACAAGCCGGATTCCAGGCAGACCTTTGCGGCCCTAGTTCAGAGTGCAGTCCAGTGACCCCATGCTTGACCCCGTGGGCCTTAAAGGCAGAAAACAAAACTTGGGTGAGAAAACAGAAGTTAGTGATGTCACACATGGACTAGGTTCAGACAGGAAGATAACCCACATACAGAATTTGAGCATGGGATGAGTGCGGGGTGAGGGTTTGTCTTTTATTGCTCACTGCTTTGGAATCTGACGCTAAATTTGCAATGATTATTATTACTATTATTTCATGGCATAAACATTTTATTGTTGATGCTCATTTTAAACTTCTAAGCCATTCTGAGATGCTGCTGCGAAGGACGCGATACAAATATGTTATTAAATTAAAACAATTAAAATAAATATATAATAAAATATCACGGCACACACATGGGAAGTATGAAAAGGCTCAGGGAAACCCCAGTGTCTGAAGAAATACAAAAAATTTGCATTTAGTGGGAAAAGAGGGAGAGCAGGATAGAAAAATCAGGGAGAAGGAGAAGGGAATGGAGCGGCTGGAACCATATTCTGACGTGTGGATTCTTCTCATGGCCATTCCCAAAGCCAGGAAAATCTAAAAATGCAGGCAGTCCTGTTGATCTATATGAACAAGGGACTTCTGGCAACTTTCCTTTTCATCCCAAGTGGTCTTTGATAAGGCGAATGGCCCGTGCAAGAGCCTGTTTGACGGGATGACCAATGCACTCGTGCGGTGCAGAGTGTTATCCTGCTACGGAATGGAAGGGCTTGCAGCCAAACTCCGAGGGAAGCTGTGGGGTCAGGGGCACAATCGCTGCTACTCAATGCATCCCGATGCTTTTCCCCTCCTCCTTCTCCCACAAGGAGCCTGTAGGCTGAGCAAGATGCACATCCCTTACCACACAAACTCATGGCAAACGGAGCAGAACGTGGGCTGGGGGAAGAAGGTGGCTGTGAACTCATGACACTTGACATTATGAATCTTGGCTTGCTTGATGGCTCCCCGTCGCTGATGCAGAGAGAAAAACCCTTCCTTTTCACAGTCGATAAACTCGGGATCATCTGGGTGTGGGGGAAACAGAAAGAGAAGTACAGTTGTTTTGTGAAGAAAAGCTGTGGTCAGGCTAGTCACTAGAATAACGCTGGGTTAAATCAGCGTGAAAAGTTGTCAGCTTCAAAACACTCACACCCTAAACCATCAAAATAGCAAGGCACACTCCCAAAATGTCTCTGTGCTGAGCTATACAGGCAGGAGACTTGTGCGTTGGTGCAGCAACGCACAAGCCCCCTGCCTGTGGAAAACTAGCATGTCATGGAGGACCAAGTCTTGCCTATCTTTTTTTGTGATGGACAAGATTTCTCTGTGAAGCGATTCTTTATTATGAGGACACTTTCCTGAATGTTTGACAGCTACAGAATGCAACCCCACCAGCTAGGTCGTGGGTTGCCCAGTAAGTTTCTATTGTTTGCCATGGAGACCTTATCCAACAAAATAACCTTTCAGAAGAGGTTATTCTGTAGCCTCCTTCCATCTTCCAGATGTTGTGGGATGAGTACTTGATAGGTAAAGCCACACACTGCATAGTTAAAAACCAGACCCTGGGACAAGTGCGTTTTGTCTAGCAAGGGGTAACTCTTTGTGGCACCAGGACAGTGACTATATCCGATGTGGAATTTGTGGGTTGTGCTTGAATTGAATTAGACATGCGCATTCTTTGGGAATAAGTAAATACCTTCTGTTATGCTCTGCTGTTTCTTCATAGATGGCTCCACTGGCTTCTGGCTGAAGTGGCAGAACTTCTAAAATTTTAGAACAGGGGCACATGTGTGTGTGTGTGTGTGTGTGTGTGTAGAGGGAAAACTGTTCCCCCTTTGCTATGAGTTGGATTGTGATGGGGGAAACACTATTCTAGCCCCTGCCTTGGCTGGATTGTGGGGGGTGGAGAACACTGTCCCAACGCTGCTATTTGGGACACGATATTGCTGGGATGTTGGGAGAAACTTTAGCTTCCCACATCCCAGAGAACTGCCCTGGAGACTTCTTTTCCCATCCCCCACTGCTGGTACCCAAATGCTCTCTCATCCCCAACGACTCCTTCATCCCAATGGGCAGCAGTGAGGAGCCTCAGACCTCTCGACCCCCACATGCTGGAGAATGCAAGTGTGTGTGTTTGCACACACGTGTGTAAGTGGGTGTGTGAGAAGAATGTGCATGTGCGTGTACACTGAATGGGTGCTTGCACCTGGCTCATTTCCAGGCCTTGGGGCTGAACTCCTTGTGTGTCTGTGATGCAGAACAACTGGTCCATGTTCCACAGCTGTCAGTGTGGCATACACAGCAAAGATGGGAAATGTATGATTCAGGAAGGTGCACCTGTGAAACCTTTGCACCAGAGACGGGAAACTCCTTCCAAGTGCCCTGCAGTCATAATATTTCTTTCCAGTGGAAGTAATTCTTATATTCAGTTTGGGGTGGCAGGATGAAAGCCTTAGAAACATCTGGATGGTCACAAACTGCCCATCCTCGCACTAGAGGAAGAAAGATGTTCATGCACAGCTGGATTACCTTGTCAGTTGTTTGGGTACCACAAAGTCCCCATGAAAATATCTATATAAATAAAGATCACAGAAAGACCATTTAAAGGTACATAAAATTACCATCCAAGGTAATTTAGGCAGCCAAGTTCATCTTCTGAGATGTTCAGACAGAAAAGCAACTATGTGTTTTTGCTCTGCTTCTCTTCACACACCCTGACAGGGTCCAACCTTTCAGGGTGGGGCTGGGGAAGCTAACAATCATTAAAAATAAAATGGAAATCTTGCTGCTTGCCTGTGGTTTCCAGGAAGTATTTTGCATTCATTAGCATTCTGCCTTGGGGCTTCAGTTCGAGCTAAAAGGAAAGAAGGAAATAAAAAGTCAACAACAAAAGTTTTGCTGAAATAAAAGATTGGGTTATGACCTGACCCTTTTGTATAATGTCTTAATGCACTGATAGGCAATCTGATATTCTCCAGATGTTTGCAGCTGCAGCTCCCATGATCCTTTATCATGGCTCATCTGACTGGGAATGATGGGGAAATTAGTCCCAAACATATGGAGGGCCTAAAAATAAAATGGAAATCTTGCTGCTTGCCTGTGGTTTCCAGGAAGTATTTTGCATTCATTAGCATTCTGCCTTGGGGCTTCAGTTCGAGCTAAAAGGAAAGAAGGAAATAAAAAGTCAACAACAAAAGTTTTGCTGAAATAAAAGATTGGGTTATGACCTGACCCTTTTGTATAATGTCTTAATGCACTGATAGGCAATCTGATATTCTCCAGATGTTTGCAGCTGCAGCTCCCATGATCCTTTATCATGGCTCATCTGACTGGGAATGATGGGGAAATTAGTCCCAAACATATGGAGGGCCTCAGGTTATCTTAATGCAAAGATCTCACAAATCTTACTGGTGAAGCACAATTAAAATGAACTTTGTTTTCAAGCAGCGTTAATAACTTTCTGTACTGGATACCAGAAAAGAGCTGTCTAGTATGTTTTTGTATGTAGCAAGAGATAGCACATTATCAGAAATAACTATGTAGATACACATATAGGGTTGTACATGCATTCATTATAATAGGTCTACTTATGTGCATGTAAAAAAAATCGCAGAATTTTACTTTATTTATTTATTAAAACATTTTTATGCCGCCCCATTCGCCGAAGCCTCGGGGCGGCTTACAACAATTAGTTTAAAAATATAAACATTAAAATAAAATACATACAATATAAAATAAGCCACCCTGGCTAGATAAAATTCAATAATATTAACATTTAAAATGCCGCTTAAATAAAAAGGTCTTCGCCTGGTGCCGAAAAACAAATAACGACGGCACCAGGCGGACCTCTCTGGGGAGCGCATTCCATAACTTAGGCGCCACCACAGAGAAGGCCCTCCTTCGAGTACCCACCCTCCTAATTTCTTTCACGGAGGGTTCCCGGAGAAGGGCCTCTCCCACCGATCCTTCCTTTTTGCTTTCATTTGGGTTTGCTATCCGTGAGCTTGGATTTCAAGTTATACGATAAACAACTTAAAACATCCTTGTGCATGAAAAGGGGGCAAATAGAAAATGGCTGGTGCATGCTGGGAGTTGTAGGCCTTTGCCCGGCCTGCACTTGCACAGGACTGGGCCTTCAGAAATGCAGATGCTTTCCCTGATCAGAGCAGATGCGCTGAGCAGCATCAAGAAAACAGGCTCAGCCCACAAAAAGCTCACAGCATCGATGCATTCGTTCCACTCGCCCCGCTGGTGTTTTTGCTGCCCCAGGTGAATGCGGCTGCTGCTCCAGGAGAGCGTCGGGATGTCAGTGATCCCCAGGATCGCCGCGCTGGCCGTCCCCAAACCTATTTCAATAGCACCCCCGTGCCATTGGAGTGCAAGCGGCACGGTTCAGTACATTTCTTCATTCGGGTTCTGCTTAAATTTGGCAGGGAAATTCCCCAGTGCAGCACCAAAGGATCCAAGCTCTCATCACTTCTATGACAGCGGACGATGCTCGCTTCCCAAAGGGAATTTCCATCAGTATCAAGGCAGTTATACCAGAAGCCATCCGTTTACTGAAACCCTGCGCTTCCAGTCTTGCAGAAGACGCTGGAAATGCGATGTACTGGGCACGCCAATGACTGTGGATACATAAGTATTCCTTGCCCCATGCCTGCGTTTGCCACTTTGTAAACCTCAAGACCTCATTGTGATTTATTCCATGGCATTTATTACTAATCACATGCATTATTTCTTTATATTTATATTGTTGTTGTTAGTCGCGAAGTCGTGTCCGACCCATCGCGACCCCATGGGCAACATTCCTCCAGGCCTTCCTGTCCACCGTCCCCCGGAGTCCACTCACGCCGACTGCCTCAGTGACCCCATCCAGCCACCTCATCCTCTGCCACAGCCTTTTGCTGTCAATTATAAAAGGTAAAGGTAAAGGTTTCCCCTTGACGTTACGTCCAGTCATGCCTGGCTCTGGGGGGCGGTGCTCATCTCCGTTTCCTGGCCGAGGGAGCCAGTGTTTGTCCGCAGACAGTCTCCGTGGCCATGTGGCCGGCATGACTGAACACCGAAGTGCACGGAGCGCTGTTACCTGCCCACCGAAGTGGCACCTTTTCATCTACTTGCATTTGCAGGCTTTCGAACTGCAAGGTTGGCAGGAGCTGGGACAGAGTACAGGAGCTCACTCCGTTGTGCAGACTCGAACTGGCGACCTTTCGATCAACCAGCCCAGCTGCACAGCGGTTTAACCCACTGCGCCACCTGCGGTCCCTGCAGGTCAATTATACCCTTAATAAAATCTCAAAACCAATATTCTAGCTAAAACATTGATTTATAAACCACCCTTCATAATATTTATCCCAGACAAGCTTACTATCAAATCAAAACAAAACTTCCACAGTTAGACAGAGTAAAGCTTTTAACATCAATGAGCAGCTAATGTGATTGATTATCCATTCAAGCGCAGTGCATCCACCAGTCACTCCCTCTCAGCCTAACCTACCGCAAAGGGTTGTTGTTCTGAGGATAAATGGAGCTATGTAAGCCGCCCCCACAAGAGGAAGATATAAATGGGATATAAATGATATTTATCTTAGGATGGCCTTGACTTTGACAGAAACGCCTTTGGAGAAGAGTCCAGCACTAGTTCGAACAAGTAGCAAGAGACTTGAATTCTTTGTTGCCTCACTGGGGATTTGCCTGCCAGATTTAATCAGGGCCCTGTGGTTTTTGGAAAAAAAGCAGCTTTTTGTATCAAAAAGCAACTTTGAACCACCCAGAGAGCTTCAGCTATTGGGCAGTATAAACACGCAATTATTAAATAAACAAGGGCAAATTTAGGGAGGATAGGACTGACAGTGGCATCTGGTCATGATGGCTGCTTCTTACTTACCTGCAGGATCAGAAGCAGTCTATGCACAGCAGCTGGTGGGGAATATGGGTGAGGGAGTGCTGGCCTAGACAGCCCTTTGGCCTGATCCAGCATGGTGCTTCTCCTGTCCTTAGTGAAATGCACATTTCCAGTGCTTCACAGACAACCTTCCCCTAGCACTTAAAATGCAAACCTCTACAAAGCTTGAGATAGTCCTCTGGGGAGGGAGCTCATTAATGGCAGCGCAGAGACGAGAAAACCCTATTAAGAGCATAAGGAATTCACAGAAGCAATCCTGAATCGGACCAAAGGCCTTTCCGGACCAGCATTTCCTCGCAGCGCTCAGCCATGGGCAGGGCATGCGTGCAAGAGCACCCTTCCTGTCCATAACCTGCTGCAACGGGTGACACGAAGAAGGCAGAACGGGAAGTGCCGAGAGTCGAGTTGCAAAGGGCTTTGAAGGTCAAAACCGTCCCAGCACCCAGGCGAACCCTGGCAAGGGCGCAAAGGCTGTGGCACGTACCCACGTCTCTGCTTTCCCGTTGTTCTTCTTGCACTTCTCGGCCAGCCAGCTGAGCTCAATGGTTGCTTCGGAGACCATCTCTGCGCTCTTATCTTTCACGACGACGTGCATGACACGGCCCTTGTGGATGTGGGCATCGAAGGTGCTGTTCCAAGGGGGGTACATAGTAGGCTTCTTCTGGACGTAAACCTGACCATTCTCTAGGATCAAAAGGATCCGTCTTTATTCATGCAGCACAACCAGGACACACGGCACAAGGCAGAGTAACATGCAGAAGGGGAACTCCCTGCCCCAAGGGCCATACAGTCTCCCTTTCCCTTACATTCCTCGTCAAACCATAATGGGTTTATTTATTTATTTTTATTTAAAACTTTTCAAGATCGTCCCTTACAGTGATCTCGGGATGGTTTAACAATAAGAGAAAACGGAATAAAACACAGCATCCTAATCCAATTCTTAACCAATCAGCAATAAAACCCATATTAAAACAGTCAAACCTTAAAATGTTGGGGACATGAAAAGGTTTTAGCCTGGCACCGAAAAGAATAAAGTGATGGTGCCAGGGGAATCTCTGAGGAGCACATTCTACAATCAGGGTGCCCCTGCAGAGAAGGCCCTTCTCCGGGTTATCACCCTCCTAATCTCCTTCAAGGAGGGCTCCCAGAAAAGGCCTCTGCCCCACATCTTAGGGGGTGGGCAGGCACATATGGAAGGAGACGCTCCTTCAGGTAACCAGGAATAACCAGGGTTGGGAGTAAGAGGAGCTGTCGCTGGTGTGCTTTTCCAGCTCATGAGAAGAGGAAGAGGAGGTCTCTGGCGGTCCAGACTTTGAAAGGAGAGAAGCAGAGATGCTTGTCTCCAGGCCATTCTGCCCAGCTGCTCAGGCAGGCTCTGAAAATAACCAAGATGTGCAGCTGTCGAGAGGGGGCCTAGGAGAGGAGGTCTCAGATGAGGCTGGTACAACTGTTGACCCCTTGACATGGCATCAGGAGAGGAAGGCTGGCCAGCAAGAGGGATGGCGTACAGAGAAGAGGGCTGCTCGCATCTTAAAGGACCCTCCCTGAAGGATGGGGCCCAGGCATACTCAAAAGGAGGGTTTCTGGAAGTAGTAGTTAGACTGGGTACAACAATCTACTCTGGGCATGCTCAGAGATACAGTCTGTGGTGATTGAGTTCAGTGGGTCTACTTTGGTGAAAAAAGAACTTTTGCAAAGAAATGGTCTGTGACCTGTGCAAAAATAGTATCCATGATTTTTTTTATTATTATTATTATTATTATATCATAGTTATATTCTGCTTTTTCCCCTCTGGTGAGGAACCCAAGGTGCCTTTCCGAGCTCCAGGTTATTCTCACAACAACAGCCCTGTGAGGAGGGCTACACCGAGAGGGAGTGACAGGTCCAAAGTCACCTATTTGGCTCCATGGCTGAGCGGGGATGAAAACCTGGATCTTCCAAGTCCACAGTCTGTGGTCAGGGCAACTTATGCAAAAGTAATACTATCACGCTTAATAATAATAGCATTTGAAGAGCCCCAGAGTGCAAGCTCTTCTCAGCTCTAAAATTGTAGGACTCCCTAATGATACCAAATGCCAAAACGAACAGGAACCATCTGGCCATACCAAGGCATTTTAATTGATTTATTCTGCATTTTTAAAAAGTGAAAATCCTTAAGGATAAGCAAGCTGTAAGGAAGAAAGCCGGACAGAAGGAGATCTGCACAATTCCTTCCCTCCAGTCATTTGCAGATCCAAAACAAAGCATGTACCCTTGGCTATTATTTCACCTCCAGGAGGAAGGATAGAAGAACCCTGAATCATCCTCCCAGGGTTGCAGGAGCAGGTTGCCTGCTTGACGTTCATTCGGCTGAGCAGAAAAGATCAAATAACCTCTCTTTCTCTTTCTGACCTTCCCATGCCCTGACTCAGAGCCTAGACTCATTCTGGTGTGAAAACCAGACTGTACGGAGAGGAAAAACCCACAGAAGGGAAAACAGAATTTACTGGATGATTCTGAGCAAGAATTCTGAACTTCTCAATTCCAAACAAGAAAATGTTTCTCCTTGCTGAACTGAAGAAAGCAGCAGCAGCAGCAGCAGCAGCAGCAGCAGCAGTGGGGGGGGGGGGGCAGAATTGGGATGCATCCTGATGTGGCTTTTAGCAACACATCGCACTTATTACATTGCCCTGATGGCCTGCATTTTTTCTCTTGGGAGGAATCCAAGGTAGCTTACACAGCTCCATTCTATTCTCAGCACAACAACCCTGTGGGGTAGGTTGGGCTGAGAAGGAGCGACTGGCCCAAAGTCACCCAGTGGGCACCACAGCTGAGTGGGGACTAGAACCGGGATCTCCCAGGTCCACAGTCCAACACCCACCACACTCCACACTGGCTTTCATGACATGACTGCACCTCTTTCATGGAATTTTGCAGGGTGGAGAGCTACTTGAAAGCTTCCCGTATTTATAACCTTTGTCTTCTGTATCTTCTCAATTCTTCCATCCTTTTTCTTACCCCAGATAATTCATTAAGGAGGAAATGACAGAAGATAATCACAGAAACGTGGAGTTGGAAGGATCTCCAGGGTCATCAGGTCCAAACCAGTGCAGGACCACTGGCTTGGTGCAGGTCTCCCAGCTAAACCGTCCCTCTCAGGTGGCTGTCCAGCTGCAGCCTGAACGCCTCCAGTGTGGGAGAGCCCATGTCCACCCTCGGTAACTGGTTCCATTGCCACACTATTCTAACAGGAATTTCTTCCTGATGTCCAGCTGGAATCTGGTTTCTTGTAAGTTAGGCCCATTTTCCCATGTCCTGCTCTCTGAGATAATGGGGAAGAGGTCGTGGCCCTCCTAAGTGGGGCAGCCTTCCAAGCTATCATCTCTCGCCGCAGTCTTCTCTTCTCCAGGCCTTCTACAAGGCAGAGCTAGGAGCTTCCATCTAGAAGTACTCGAAACCCTAACGCTGAAATGAAGCAGGTTTGGGAAGAGCAGCGAGTTCTGTTCCATCCTTGTTCTTGCAATAAATTCCTGGGCTCCAAATACTTTCATTTTGCAGGCATAATTTTTGCACCGAGTTCCGCTGTCTGCCCACCCCTGGTGTAAGGTGTCACTTGACAAAGGATTGGGGCTGCTGCCAGAAAAATCAACGGGATAAAACTCTTCACTTTCCTGGCCTTGCAGCCTCCAACCTAGAAGCACAGGCAAACTGGAATGTGGCAACACACGCTTACCGGACTCCACGGCTTCTTTGACGATCACAGCGCAATACGGATCGATCACATCTCCTTGCGAAGGCAGGTACGGGCCGCTGTCGTAGTTCGACAATCCAATCCGGAGGAAAGGTGACATGCTCGGATCTGCATTGCCCAGAAAGGAGACGTTTATTGCATAGCTGCTAAAAAAAGCCCGGGGACTTTGGGGCATTATCATCGCCCACAACAGACACAAGCATCGCATGCAAAAGACACTTATCCATCCAGACAGCACTTCCCTTCTCTGCTTCCCAGTCAGATAAACTGGCAAAAGTTTCCCGCATGGCCGGACACGGCAGAAGCGCGTGGCCTGATCGGCTGGTTCAGCCACACCGCCGGAGGTGCCTGAGGCGGCCAGGCAAGAGCCGGGAACGACATCGGATTGATTTTGCTCAGCGCAAGCATCAACCCCCTGCAAAAATGCTTGAAATAAACTCCTGACGCCGCTGGAGAGGGGATGAACCCTACAGAGGGCTCATGCACAGCCATGAGCTGCCCCCGTGGGATGCTAAGAGAAGGCGCGCTACTTGCCGTTTCCAAAGGGACGGTGCAAAGTGTCGCAGGGCGCCTTCCCCTATGTTCAGCATGATGCCGTCAAGTGACAAATGTGCTATTTATACATGGGATGGAAATGAAACCAGTCAGCTGTATAATCATAGGCAAACGACCCTTAGCAGAAGAAAGCAACAACACCCCCCAGTGAGAAAAGGTCAGCTCGCCTTCTCGTCTAAGCTGTGGCATGCTGAACATCAACCCAAGATTTTTAGAGCGTTCAGCACTGCCGGGAAGTACCTTGACTACATTTAATCCGTTGTGGGGAGGGCGGTTCTGCAGTTTTGAAGCAGGTTAGGAAAGGCTGTTTTGTCCTGTCCCCAGAGCAGTTTGTAGTGAAAACTACACCCCCCCCCCACCCCACCGCTTTTTAAAGGGACGAATGCATGAGCAGATCCCCATTAGAATTAATGGAGACATTCCCTGTTATTTTTTCTTTCTTAAGTTTTTCTCTATTGCCCTTTCCCTGCTTTTCTGGCTTATATAGGTCCCTGGGCACAGTTCTGCTGTTTTTATTAACCAAACCAGCTTATGTGGAGTGTTGACATCTTTTCTTTTAAATGCTTGAACTCTAACGAGGAATATTCTTCACCACTGTGGTTCGCATGGTGCCGTCAGTTCACATGAAACGCAATGGATGCTGTTCCACAGCAGAGATAACAGAGGAAGGAAAAATGACGGCTGGAATAAAATTGGGGAAGGATACACGCCGCTTGCAGTTTTGCAGACCCAGATAATCTGTGCTAAACAGCTGTTTTGCTTGTGGGTTGGGCCCGGGAGTAGATTCTTGGTGCTTAGACACAGAAAACATGGCTAGTATTGGCAATTCCACAAGCAGTCCTCATACTGAGGCATTTTGCAGATGCGCCTTCTGCAAGGAAGTGCTTGTGCTTCTCTGTGCACTGGAAGGAGGAAGGAAGGAAGGAAGGAAGGAAGGAAGGAAGGAAGGAAGGAAGGACGGCTTCATCTCCCAGTATCTACAAATCAAGCTTGTGGTTCAGTGCTTATGAGCTGACCCAAAGAGTACTCATTCCCCACCCTTCAGAAATCACAATGCAGGTGATCCTCAGGTCAAGCATGTTTGGGTTATGAACAACTGGTGCTTAGGAATGAGCACATCTGGACAGCCCACCTTGTCCTCGAGTGGCAAGCGGGACTCTGTGGGCACTGGGTGGAGAGCGGGCGCCTGCAGGCACTGCAAGGGAGGAAGGGAGGAGAAAGGAAAGGAAGGTGGGAAAGGGAAGGAGGAGGGGAAAGGCAGCTCCGACGAGCAGCAGTCAGAACTAGAAGCGACTGAAGGGCAAGGCTGCCTTCCCACCAGCAGTGCCCTCAAACCCTGACTCTCCAGCACCAGACCCATCCTCCCCAACACCAGTCCCCTCTCCATCATCATCCAAGTTGATGTTGGGCTTAATGTTAGCTCAAGAAGCATTAACCTTTAGTAATCTTTTTACTATTTTTCTGTCTTTCTGCCTTAACTGTTTTAAGAACTGTACAGTAAACCTGCACACATGCATACAGAATCTTTCTCTCTCTATCCTCAATACACGTTGTTACCTTTTATTACTGTATTGTTATCATTACAAAAACGCTGCATTAAGATGTTTTAGTGAATATGGAAGCGTTTCTTAGATGTTTTCTATGCTTTATATATAAATGTGATCTGACTTATGTACAAATGCAACTTAAGGAAATTCTCTTGAATGGAATTCGTCCATAACCTCTGGACTACCTGGTTTCTTCTGACCCTCAGACCTTCTGCTGTACTTGTTTTGATGCCATGTTGTTGTTTTTAAAGGGTCTTTTATGCATACACAAAAACATGCACACAGCAAAACAAAACAAAGCAAGAAAAGGACCATGGATGCTGTTTTATCTCACAATCAAGACAATCCTAGCATTGAGTATTGCTTAATTTACTCCCTGAAGTATGTATTTCTGCAACGAGGCACAATTGACAGAGGTGAATTTCCTATAGCCACAAAATCTAACCACCAAGGGAGCACAAAATTGTTTCGTAAGCACTTCCTGCACTCATCTATTTGAGAATTAAAAGCTTTAGGCTGGTTCAGTTAAAAGATTTGAGAGCTGAAATTTTCATTCAATGCAAAACATTTGAAAGTTAAGCGTTTTATGTACAGCCACCAAAGGGTTCCACCCATCCCAGCTTGTTAAATCCCCTTCTGAGCCCATATGATACGGTTACATTTTGCGTAAAGAAAAGAGGCTGTGGGGGTGTGAAGAAGCTACAAAGATGGAGAACACCGTTATAATGAACCAATCCGCAGTTTCACTTTCTCTCATATTTGATTTTTTATCTCTCTCTGTCAAGATCTTTCCTTTCTGTTTGTGAAGAGATGAGTAAATGTTGGTAAGTTCTTATCAAAAAATGAACTAAAAAAATTATCACCCATGGGCATCAGCCAGATTTAATAGGTACGCAGTGCCCAACATGAAAAGGAAAATAACTGTTAAAGGTAAGGAACCTATCAGAAAAGAAGAGATGATATTTCTAATTCAGCACTAAAGTGGCTGAATATGTAAGGGATTCAAATGCAGGAGCTAAGTACACAGAGCCCATTTTCTGGATGGACAAATCTCTCCATTTTCTTTTCTCCCACAGTCATTTGGGAGAAAAAAATCTCAAGCTTTTTTCCCATCCTGTTGATGAAGCAACATGCACGGTTCGAAAAGCTTTCATAAAAGCCTGATCAAAACAAATTCTGGCCCATCCTCAGCCAGAAAAGGCCAAGAGAGGGTTGACAATTTAAATATTAGAATGCTAAGGATGCAGAACTCAGCACTGTGAACATTCGGCCCCCAAATTCTCCTTTCCTACCTTTCTTGATTAAACACTCCTAGACAGGATTTGGCTGTTATTAGCAACCAAACTATTTCCTTGAGCTCACAGTCATCTGATTCCAGGTGGGAGGAAAGATAAGGCTTTTTTGCAGATCTAGCTGAGATGTTTTTGGAAGGGGAGCTTATACCGCTGCCCCCTCCCCAGCTCTGCCTCAAATTTGTAGAAAGAGGTCTGAAAACGGACAATGTCAGGGGAGACACTTGCTGGCAGAGTACAGTAGATACCAAACCTGGATATTGTCCCCGGGAGTTTCCAACTACCGTTCCCCTGCCCTTTGGTTTGGTTTGACAGCAGTGAAAAGGTGAGCTGATGAGCCAGACTGAGAGCGGGAGTCCTGTGTACTCGTGCAAAGAGGGTGAGTGGGATTCACACCCTCTTTATGGCAAGATCCAGATACAGGTTCTTGTGAAGAAGCCACAGGAGGCCCTGCCAAAAACAACCTTTTAGAAGGAGCCAGAGCTGGGCAACTAGCAGTCGAAACTCCGGTTCCTTTCCAAAGCTTTCTAGGCTCCCAGGTATTTAGATCCTTGGGAGCAAGTGGAAACATGAGAGCTCCCTAAGGCTGAAATCCAACCTGTCCCCCGTGAGGTTCTGGCTGCCCAGATGCACAGAGCCGCTGCCAGCTCAGGTTTTAGTGATGGACTTAACCTTGGAGCATATTAATAGTTAAAACTTTCTTCATCAGCTGCAGCCTGTGTTTTAGTGCCTGACACTAATTAACTGCAGAGCGTTCTTTCACTGGGAGAGATTAGCGGAAAGGTCTTGCAGCTCAGGTGGTTGATATTTCCAGACAGACCTTTGAGCCCCGATAGCTCCTCTCCTCGAAATTAAGCACCACGCATGCCAGCACTTTCCACCTGCGTGTGCAGCTACTCCTGAAACGAAGCTGTCCATCTGCTAATTAAAAAACAGCTTTAGCGAGGAGCAGAAGCATCGCATGGCCTACCTGGAGCCTCCTGTTTCCTCATTAGCATTCTGAGCGGCTTGCTGAGCATCACTATAAGAGCCCTCGGTGAATCGGGCAAGGATCTCTGAGAAGCACCGCCTCTGAGAAGCCCGTCGGTTCCACTTTCTTGCTTCTCTTTCACAAAGCCAATCAGAGCATCATTTCCCATGCGAAGAGGGAGTACTGGGGACCTGACAGTTAGGACCCCGAGGGTGTGGAACGGGCTTCCACGGGAGGTGGTTGAGGCCCCATCGGTGAGGGTGTTCAAGGACGGGCTGGACATGCACATGGTGGGCATGTCGTGAGCGGAGCTGGCTTGAGCTGCGGGGCAGACTAGATGGCCTGGGAGACCCCTTCTGACTCGCTCATTTCTATCTGACTCTAGAGTCCGACTGAGACTCTGAGGCCAACAGGCCACAGTAATCCCAATGCAGCGCACATCCCCACAAAAGCCGTCACAGCAGGAGCTCCAGATGCTCCTTCCTTCCTTCTCTGTTTCAGCGCAGATTCAAACTGCAGGACTACCCAACCTCCTTGGCGCCCTGGGCTTTTTTGTAAAGTGCCAGACATGGCAGGAAGAGACGTCTGACATCCAGTTTCCAGGAAGAGCATCAGCTGAGTACTGAGCTGTTCTGTTAACTAGATATACAAAAGTGCGGGCAGAGGAGGTCACTGGTGCTCTGAAGGCGGGACCGTATGCTCTACCAAAGAACATAGGTGCCTGCAGCTTTTCCAATGCGCTTA